CTTTTATAACATTAATTTTTTTAAAATCTTATTTTTTTATTAAAAGATTTACTTGTGATTTTTTTAATTGATATATTCTTAACAATGATTAGAAATGAATGTATTTATTATAATAAAAAATAAAATATGGTAATAAATCATATAATGATCAATTGAAGAATGAATTAAAAAAGAGAAATGTGTTTTTGTTCATAAAATCTCTAAAACATTAGGAGAAAAACATTACAAAATTATATTGTTTCAAAGATAAGTGTAAATTTAAAGTTGATTAAATAAATAATCAAAGTTTTCTTTCTTAGGCTTTATAGAATATTAAGATTGAAAATAAAAATACTAAAGAAAAGTGTAAATTATTATATAGAATATTAAGAGAGAAAATAAAAAAATGCTAAAGAAAAGTGTAAATTTAAAGTTGATTAAATAAAGAATCAAAGTTTGCTTTTTGGGGTTTAATAGATAAGAAAATGTTTAAGAATTCCAAATTCCTAATTAATTAAATTCTCATAAAGTTCATTTTATTTAAATCATATCCTTATTTTTTGAAAAATTTTTATTTAGATCATAAATATTCTCTCTACATTTAAAATCCTTAAAATCCGTACTATAAAAACAAAATTTTTAACAAATAAAAGTTAGAATACCATATTAATTATTTTTCAAAAGTTTAGGGGGGGCGGCTGCCCCCCTTGTCCCTCATTGGCTCCGTCCCTGTCAGCTGTTTTTGGTTAAAAAAGTGAGATATCTGCTGATTTCTCTGTAAAAAAGACAAATGCTACTGCCCTCACAATCTAATTTGACTCTATAAAAAATGGTTTAGGTGTGCATATATGTTTTTATAGCAAAATGACTTACGAATAATTTTTTATATTATTTTTTGTAGTTTTTAAATAATTAATTCTTTTTATTTAATTAAATCTTATAATATTAAACATATTTACTTATTTAATCATGTATAAAAATTATATAAAATAATTACCGTTTATATATAAGGCTCCTAAGTCTACCAGTATGTAAGGTATATAAAGACAAAAATGATATAGTTATAATAGTAAGGGATATTAAAAATTTATAATATGATATATTGATATATAATTGTATAATTAATTTTTTTTCTTAAATATATATATTTATTTAATAATATGTTATACTCATTTTATAATATATTTGGATTATAAATTTAAAATTTTATGTGATATTATAATTATAATATTTTGAAATAAAGGGAAAGGCAAAAAAGAGAAACTTT